GGGTTAAACGAGCCATAACCCTTCGATAAATCGGAATCGTGCTTCTTTGAGGTAACTTACGCGGGCCCGAACATCATGGCGAGGGACGAATAATAACCCGAAGTGAGTCCTAGTCCAGCACCAATGGCCCAGTAAATCCAGTCATTTTCAATATAAATAGGAGTAATCCTTTCGACATCCACTGGCTGGTAACGGCATAGCAAAAAGGCTGGGATAAAAGCCAATCGAAGCACCACCGGCACCCACAGCCATCTGGGACCAGGCTGAAAATCGGGGAAACATTCGATGTATTCACGCGGCAACATTTTCGAAACAACGGCATTTTTTCCTCACCCAAACGATCAAGTTAGGTAATAGATTACCAAACGTTGCGAAAAGGTTGAACGTGAGAAAGCAGAGCACCAGAGTGTAATATGCTTCTGGAATGATGAAAGACGGGTCTGACATCTTGATATCTGTGGATTGAGAACACACGAACTCAAACACATTCGAAATGAGCGAACATTCACATTTAGATTTTGGTAGCAGGAAAAATCCGTGACTTTGGAATCGAATTGAAATTCAGATCCGTTTAGTAAATATTGCCACAATCAACCCTGTGCAAACCCCCCTATACTGTATTTGATCGGCTCTTTGGATTTCAGTTCCTTGATAATCGTTGAATAAATGAGAAAATCGATTATAGATAAATGCCAAATTTTCATGATTTTTCACAAATTCCTATAAGTATCCTCGAACTGAACGAAGAAGAGTGACTTCTAAACACACACACAATTGCCTCAGGCAACGTTGGAAACGCGGTAACAATGTACTGTACTGCGCAGTTCAGGATCGATCAAAAGGAGCACATATTGAAAGTCAAGAGATCTCCTTAAGCGCAAGGATTATGCAAAACTGTCAGTCAATAAACGCTTACAATATTTCAAAATGAAATTAACACAGCAAGTATTATTCCGTAAACCATGAAAAATTGAAGAGAAAAATTCAATACGGGAGTAACGTTCACATATGCGTTTCCAAATTTATATGATCAATTTTCATCCCCCGATCATCCACATGATGAGAAATTCGACGATAAACTAATTCTGCAATGCTCTAATTATCCGGAATAGTTCAGGCAACTACCCTTTTACATGGGATTCCAAGACTCGATCCCAATTTGAAGGCGCCTTCAATTTTCCGCATAAAATGGAATTATCACCGCGTCGTATCCACATGAATAGTATTCGAGCTTCTAACGAAAAATGTTGACGTTATCTTTCACAATATACTGTAGACTCACTCGCTTGTACGGCAGGGAACACAGCCAACGATACGAAAAGTGTGAGGAACACATTGAAGCACTGTGGGAAACATCGCTTGAACACATGCCAGTAAATTTGCGCTTTCGTTTTCGGCAAACTGGACCGAACGACTTCTGTTCCGGCGTCTTCACCGAAGGGACCTGCAATCTTATTCGAATTCCGTTTCCTGGGCATATCATGCAGCCTTGTATGATACCGATAAAACCTCTGCGAAAAGGTTAAACGTTAATCTCCATACAATAGGCTAGCTATTTCCCAGAAATATACCGAAAGCGGTAAAGCGAAGTAAGTGTCGAAACAAGCGAGTAGCACGAACAAAGCTGTGATGAAGTAATAAATGGCTGCAGTGCGGAGGTTAGGAGACATGGCTTTGGATACGATGCTGATGATGGCGGTGAATGTTCCGCTGACATTCTGCAAAAAAATCATGAATTGTCAATATTTTTCCTCTCCAAAAAAGAACAGGAGGGAGATGCACTCACTGATCCAAGGACAACTGCTCCCGAGTACTTAGGTGGCAACTTCGCGGCGATTCCGTAAACTGTCGTCTGGTAAATTCCATTCGCCATGTTTAGAAAAACGACGGTGATCATTGTGAGCCAGAAGAAAACCCCAGGCCAACCAGACGAATCAACCATTGCTAAAGCCACGGTCAGAACGAAGACCACCACGCAGACGGACAAGCTTATCACGATCCGTCGCGTGAAATCGCCTCTGAAGTTCACAAAATTAAACGTAGTTTGAATTGCTAAAAACTGACAGAAAGGTATGAACATGACACAAGCTCAGGCAAATTCGCAAAAAATTACGCGAGAATTAAAAAATTCAACTGCGTAACGTCATTAAGGAAGTACTGTACAGGTATACATCCTCGAGGAGCATTATTAAGGACAAATCACTTTACACCTGGTACAAAACTTCCCCAATAAAGAAGGAAACGTAGGCTCGTCCGAATATTAAGTGAAATGACATGTTCACAAGAATTAATTTCTCAAGTTTGAGAACTTCAAACTACAATAATGTTTTTCTGCAGATACAGTTTTAACGTAAGGTAAACAGAAAATACTAATGGTTATTTTCAAGAAGTCTAAATTTGTTTTTCAGTTCGTCTAACTTTCGANCAGGTGAGGCAACACAAGATGGCAGAAACGAAATTTTACCTTTTACCAACATTTCAGATTGACTTTGTTGACACACAAAGCAGGAAAATGAGGATAATCTGGGTAGAGGCTAGAGGGATGAATCGATGGCTAAAATTACAAATTCAAAATACACTGTACCATGAAGTACGACCTATGTTCATCAACACCTCTTCCAAGACAGTTATCAGCGATTTTGCAGGTGAAGATTTAATCAGGGCTCCGCCAGTCCAACATTACAATAACCTCTGCTTTGAATAATAGGCAAAAGTTATCTGATTGCTGGTTCGCAAGTCATTTTAAAAAACGAGACAAAATCTCCACACAAACCACTTCCAACAATTGATAACTTTTCCTTAAATGTTCGTGTTTTCATTCGACAACATTTGAATCTTGATGCACTGCAACCATAAAACGGGACATAAAGACATGAAGGGCACAGTACTGAATGAAGTTCAATATGACTTTCTACAGGATTTTTCTGCTTGGGTTTTTCAGATGTAGAAATTGCAGTTCGAAATTCATTCATTTTTGGTGTAATTATTACCCATGACGTTGAAGAGGAAGAGAATGATTTCAGTAGCAGCAGAATTTTCTTTTGATATCAGCTGAATTCACTCTTCATGTCGTAACTGTAGTGCCATGAAGAGGAAAAATTGCAATATTTTCCTGACTGTTTCGTCAACCAACTCGAAGTTTCGAAATCTGAGCAGACTTACAATACATGAAATCAAGAGCTTATCACACATTTACAGTACAGTACTTGTGCAACCCACTAACGATTCTGCTCTCGCGGAATTCAAGATTTTACATTTCAAGATTTTCTCACGTCTCACTAACATTACGATAAAAATTGAAATTATAACCTTGAGTTATTTCTAAAAATGATGAAATAATAAATTTGCACGTAGTTCAGAGAATCAGTAATGGCCAAATAAAATTTGAAAAATAATTGCCGAAAAGAGTTGGTGGACTGCTACTACTCGAAAAAAAAAAGCTGAAAATGCGTCAAAATCGTTGGGAACACACAACTATCTCCATGCATATTTGGAAGTACAGTACATGTTCCAACAATACGTTTCTATGCCCTCCGGACAGGTTAAAGTCCTCAATCGGATTTCACAGAAATCTTTTCTCAACGCCGGAGTGGAAGATGTACCTGTCTGGCGCTTGATATGGATTGACCCTTCTGCGTTCGTTATGACCACAAGGATCTGGCTCTTCATCAGAAACATCAGGCCATGATGTATTCCTATTCATTGGATTAACAGTTTGCCTCTTGGAATCCCACGAACTAAAACGGGACGCACCACGGACCCCGAAAAGTAGCGGCCTCCGTTCTCCATACACCGGGTCTAGTCTGTCTAAGGTAACCTCGAACTTCCGCGGATCCCAACCATCTATCGCGTTTATGATGGTTCTCAACAACGTCACGATCATTTCGACACGATTCGGCACATCAACTCATCGTACTTTGGACGGAACGCGATCAAATTACTGCGAAGTAATATTTACGTAAATCGAGCCTTTAGAAATCAAATGCTCGCACACCAACGTGAGAACCTACGAAGAATTTTTCAACAGCGCCGAACGTCTATGAGATCCATCTCGAGTAAGCTCAGCCACCACACGTGTCTATCCCTCTTTCTCACTAAGGGAAGGAAAGGCAAAATGGAGGTCGCTCAACACTTCATGACAAGCAGCAGGACAGATATAACCCAGCCAGTGTTGCAGGATCAGAGAGGCTATCTTTAGTGTCTTGCGCATGCGATAAAACGCCTGGAGCATAGAGGGAATGCGCACGCTCTCAACGCGGAGGTCGCGCGCCGAAGGTATTACGAAATCCTTATCCCACGCGGGAAAAAACGCGATCTTAACGTAATCCATACCCAAAATAGTGTCATCCTTCCGATAGACCCGGAAAAGGCTATGAAGCATCCCGAATAACCCCTGATAATTGCTTAGCAGATTGCACTCGTACCACTGATTGTACAGTACACGAGACACTTTCCAAGTGGTATGGTACGTGGGGTTGCTAATCCAAAACTACGAACTGCGATGTAGAGTGAAGAATAAAAGTGGAATTTCAATTTCCATACCAAATAAGAAAAACAGCCAGAGCAAGGATCCGGGGAATGATAAATTTTATCTGAAGAAGCAAAGGAAAACCCGTATCAAACCAGACCCCCTCTACATCCCCAACACAAGGAACTGATAATTCCAAATAAATACGGTAGCGGCATGAAGTCTGCAAAGCCTCTTTTACGTTGAAAAGCCATCAGGCGGTGCACCCACTAATTTTTCTACAAAAAGTGGCGAGTCCAGGATGCGACGGAAGTCACCAAAAAGTTTTCAAATTCTAGCTTCAAGTGACCGCAATTAGAGGATATCAAAATTTGTCCAGAATGTTCCAAGACTTGAGCAACTCTCGAATTGGAAATGAAAAAACAATTAGAAGCATTCAAAATGTTTGGGGGAAAGTTCGGTAATGCCTTCCGTATCGTCGGCTTTCCGTGACGTTAGAAATATACTAAGGAGTGCAACAGCTGCCACGAACTCACCGATCAGGCGGCTCTTTGCCGTACTCAGATTCATCCGGTGGGGAAACATCCTGAAAATTAAGTTGCTCGGGTGGCAGATTCCTGCTCTCCCAGGCAGGCGTGAGACGAATCTCTGCGACATCATTCGAACCCAGGAACGGTTGCTCTTCTTCCTCCACTGATCAAGGAAAAGAAAACCTGATGAACCATTCCAAGAATGATGGAAATCCTACACACATCGACGAATGCTCCGCGGATCCACGTTTCTGCCGGAATTATCCATTCGAGCAGAATGATGGAATTGCAGGAAATCTGTCCGAACTCGATAGTATAACCCTTTTCCACCACCTTAAAATATTTTCGCAACGAAAATATAGTTCTGGTCACATATTAGTCGTAATGAGTCCACACGCACTCCGTTCCCGATTTCACCAGTTCTGAATTGACACTGGTTGAACAAGGGTTGATCAACCAACACATTTCGAACCTCACTACCACAGCAATGTGCGCCGCCATATTTTACCGCTGCTTCCCACTATTCATGAAACCGATGTTATACCTTATTTTGCCTTTAATGATGGCATCTATCACTACAGTATAAAGAAAAAGCATGCCTCGCAAGTCTCATCCGGCGTTCCAGCAACCCTGCTCGAGCGGAAGACGTCCTGTACTAGCAGCAGCTTGTTCAAGAGGCGATTGAACCTCTTCAGCCTTGATATGCAGTAAAATGCTGTGGAAGACTGATTGAGGGAGAACCACTTCATTATGCAAGATGAAATCTCAGGGCAGCTGTATTCTGGTAATTTGAGATATATATATATATATACATCTTTTTTTTAATGGTATATAAGCATTTGAAAATGAATCTCATCAGCATGATTGGGATAAAGTACTGTGAAAATTTCCAGCAATATGACTTTGTATTCAAACATTTTATTTGTTCATAAAATTATCTGTTTATTATTCTTAGTACTTTGATCAAAGGCTATAGTATCTAGAAAGACACAAGAGAGAATATGTGAACTTATTGCTTGACACATTGGTACATTAGCTCAAAATATGAATACTGTATACCGGTGCATCACATGTTTGTTGTGTGTTTTGGACCAATAATACATGGCAAATGGATTTCAGAGCATACGTAAACCATTAGACAGTACTTTATATACAGTACAGTACATGTCAAAAGATTATACAATATTCACAGAATGGGGGCATACTAACAGGGCAACATTTACTTCAGCATCAGCATTCAAGAGCTCTGAAACATGTAAGTAATTAGAATATTCAGTGTGCAACATTTTTGAAGAAGAAGTTTCGCTTAACATGACCGCAAAAGATCAGGCCTACGAGGGTTTAAATTTCAAGCATATAAAGGTCTCTGGATGATAGTAAGACACGCCACTACGAACCGTTGCGCCTTCTGGAGGAGAGATTAGGCATTTATTCGAATGTCGCCTCAGTTGCGTCGACAAGATGGCTGCCTGTCTGGCCGTTGACTACAGCACAACCTAGGGAAAGATTCTTGCAATCTTTTCATTCCACCTGCGCTTACTCGTACTTTCGATCTATGAATCGGATCGGTTGCTCTTTTGCTGAATTGAGTGATTGTGCGTATTGTGACGCCTTCGATTACCGCTTACTGATGCGGAATAAATCTCGTAGTTCTCTTCGCTTTTTTTTTTAATAGCTCAAAGCGCTGTAGAACAATAGGTTCGCTCGAACTGCTGATTCAACTTATAATGCTGTGGAGTGCCTATAAGACGATTCGTTGGCACAACCAGAACTGTGTCATGTCATGAGTTCAGATGTACAGAGGGCTCATTTAATAACATACTACGATTAGATGCAATGACAAAGTATTAGTGCGAGTGTGTCAGGTGGCGTAGTCTGATCGAGGGCCAACCTCATCCGTAAGGAGACGAACGTTTCTCATGCGGTGATCAAGCATATGTTCATTATCGTATTGGTCTCATCAGTAAGCTTGCGTGTCCCTGGTTCGGAAGCAAGGAACCGGCTACAATTTTGTGAATTACATTTCAGCGTTGATATATCGCGAATCATTGGTCCCAGCGATCGTTGATAGATATGGACGGGGAAGTTGCCGAAAGTGGTGAAGATGTAAAAGTTGATCTAGCAGGTTCGTGAAATATTGTATTGTTGTTTAACGTTCCGATGACACGGATGGATTTTTCACAGGGATTCAGGAACAAGAAATAGAAGCGGACGAAGGAGATGAAGATGCAGCTTATTTTGTGGACGAAACTGGGCAGTATTACCGGATCGATTCCTCGACTGCTGCTCTTTTAGAGGGAAATCAGAGCGAGCTTGAAGAATCTATTCAGCTTGCTGACGGTACGCAGGCGTCAATTCTCAAGGTATATCCCATTTTTCAATGTGGTTTTTTTACTTTTTTCGCCATCTCCAAACCTGGTGCTCAGTGTGTGTTGTGGAAAAAATTTTCTAGGGACTCGATGAAAGTACAGCTACAGGCGCAAATAATAGTAATGCCAGTGGCGATAGTTCCGAAGAAGCCACGGCCGACGATTCTCGAGAAGCTGGGAATGATGATGACATGAACTATGTTTTGATCATGGATCCATCAAGCAATAAGTCCGCGGCAACGTCGCGATCACCCGTTCGCAGAAGCGCTCGAGCAGCCCGACCATCAGTCAAAAAGCAGGAATCTTCCAACTTGGGAGTTTATGATTTCGATGAAGCCGAAGCGGAAGACGCGGTCCCTGGGATGGATGATGCCGACGATGTCGAAGACGGGGAAGAGGAAGATTCCAAAGCACCGGTCAAAATGGATCGACGATCGGCGCAAAATGTTTCCCAGCATCACACATGCAACTTCTGTAGTTACACGACATCTAAAAGGTTGGTCCTTCGTCATTATATTATCGAACGATACATCCGAACGGAGTTCTTTCCAAGGTTAAACAACAGCGCGGTAGACTTCTGAGTAACAGTCCTCGCGGGAGTATTCACGTCGCAAACACTTGCACCAAAGTTCTGGGAACGCAGCGACGTCTTAGTGCAGTTGTGGGTGTGACCATGATTTGGACACAAGTGCAGGTTCGTGGATTGAGTGGGAAAAAATTGGTGAATCCTTGGAGACAGTTCGCGACATTTTTCCGGTTTCAGATATTGTGAAGCTGCGTTTACAACAAGTGGAGAGCTCATAAGACACATACGCTATCGGCATACGCTTGAAAAGCCTCATCAATGTACCGAATGTGATTATTCCTCCGTGGAATTGTCGAAGCTAAAGCGTCACATGAGAGCTCACACTGGGGAGCGACCATATCAGGTTATTTACTATTTTACCGTCCAACAAATTTTAAACTTGGATTTGATGTCCGGTTAGTCATTCATCACAAAACTTGTGCGTATCAAGTTCTTCTTGTATTGCAAATCTTGAATCTTCCCTTTTATTGAGAATTCACTCTGCCGAAATATCCATACTTCGAGATCTTTCTCTCGAATCCGATATCAGTCGGATAATACAGTAGCAATTTTTCGTCCTCGAAATTTTCGTGGTTGTAACATGGGAGAGTAATTTTCGTCAGCACCCGAATTGTGGGTAGCCATTTAACAAAATGTGTGCTGTGAAAGACATGAGAGGTTTCTAGGATTCCGGAAAATATCAGCGAACCATTCTTGAGTAAACAATATTTTCTGCGAAATATTCTGCATTGCGTTTTCACGCTGGAACGAATAGCCAGTAGCTCGAAAATTAAAAGCTTCTTCTTACAGTTCAGCTTTTAATAATTTTTTCCAGCCGACCAATCAACACCCCAGCGATTGTAGACATTCCGGGTCTAAGTCGAATTTTTTAAGACATAGTTGCCTTTTCGTGGAAGTTATGAGTATCGGCTGCTCGAAAATTTCAGAACACGGTTTTCGAGGAGAAGGAGGCTTGGCCTGAAATGAATTCGGCTTTTTGCATAGTTATTCGAATTACGTCTTCGGGTACACAGTAAATAAGTTGTGTTCTGGTTGAATCAGTCTCTTGAATTTAAAACGAAAATATGCAGTCGAAATATGACAGTAATGTATTTTCAGAATCCGGGAAATTTCAAATTAGCTTGCATTAAGTTGATACGACTTGCGCATTGTATGACTGAATCGTATCCAGTGTCACGATATTACTTGAACTCCATTCTTCGACCAATAGCATTGAGCTATGTACACATAATTTTGTGCAGAAGCTGAGTGTATCTTGCGGTACAAATAGTTGTAGGTTTCACAACTGAGAAGGCACAAAACGTGTGAATATTTCTGAAATGTGATCAGTTTTTCTCGGATGTTAGTACTGTAATTGTATTTTCCATCATTTCAGTGTCCTCATTGCACGTACGCGAGTCCGGATACTTTTAAGCTGAAGCGTCATTTGAGGATCCACACGGGAGAAAAAATTTTACCTCCACGCACTGAAAAGAAAGCCAATCAATGCTAATCTCCGGAATACGGCCGAATATAATAAAGTGATTTATTTCATATTACCACTTAGTGCCATGTTTTCAGAGTTCAATGATGCTTAAATAAGAGGTTATCTCTTTAAGATACAGTATATTCCAAATTAATTCACTCATTCGGAAAATGCATCGCCAGAAAAAACTGCGTCCATTGTGCAAAGATTATCAAAGCCAACTTATTGATGCAAACCTAAAGAACCTTTTATAAAGTTTCTGAGAATTAAAAAACATTTATTTTTGAAAAGGGCAAAGAAAGAAAAAAAGAACTTAAAAAAACATTAGAAAACAATAAACAAAACAAAGTTAAACATATTGTTGAAAAATAAATTATTTTTTCTTCAAGAGCTTGTGTACTTCCCTCAACAAAGTAATGAAGTTTAACCAATGGCGACTACCAAACTGACTACCGAAGACTACCAGTCCTGAAAAAAAGTTCGGGCGGGGCTTTCGTTACAGCTGTGCGCGGGTATGGCGAGGATTTCGTGTCAGGGCTATTGTCGCGCGGGGCTTTCGTGTCCCGGGCTTTCGTCGCGCGGGGATAGTGACGGTTTCCCGTTTTGAAGATCACTCTCTGTGACCTCACGTATCAAGCACAATTTGCAACGTGCCTGCCTTCAGAACTTCAACTCTGTTCAGAACTTGACAAATACTGTGCACTGTAATTCACAGTGAGTACTTCATTATAACCAATACTGTACTGTACTTCATTTGTACATGTCATGCATTCAATTCCTCCCTCCGCTGGGTTTGACTTGAAATAGGGTAGGGACGCGGGGGTCCAAGTTCAAAGCTTGATAAAATCTGTATTAGATTCTGGCCATTTCGCGTATCACCTGGCAAGTGAACCCGGTACAGTTATTGATTTGAAAGCTTTGATCTGAGCTGCCCCACTTCAGCTAGAAATATCAGATCTATCAGTGGAAACCAATATTTCCATTGGAATGCGTGCAGAAATCACATTTCAGCGTTTTTCAGACGATAATTCAACTGTGCTAAAAAAAGGAATAAAATTTTTTTTCAAAAAGCGCACCTGGTTCAACTGGAACAGGAACCCAAGCTTCATCGCTAGGAACAGCGTCCTCTTCGCCCTCGTACACAGTTGAAACTGTTCCACCATCCAGAACCCGCACAAACTTCCTGGTTGAGCGCTCAGCGTGAGACCCAGGCACAAACCACAAGCACCCGTTCTCCTCTGTCGCCGAATCCAGCGGCAACCAAACACCGACCAACTCAGAATCCTCTTCGGGTTCCGTTCGCAAATACGTCTCATCCCGATGGGGCACAACAGGGCCGCCGATCCCCGGCGGCTTGAAGATGTACATGCTTTGAACGATCCGCGGGTCGGTCATCTTCAAGGCAATGGCTAGGGATTGGAATCGTGGGCCAAGTGTGAAGTTGGAGAAGACGGGATCGAGAACGTGCAACGCGTGGCCCACTTTGTTCACCGAGTTTCCGATGGGTAGCCTGAGTTTCTCGGTTGTAGGGTCGAAGGCGCCTTCTTCAAAGAATGGTCGGATTCGGTCTCCGCTCTCGATGAAATACGCTTCCGAATGATGTTTGTTGTTGATCGTTGAGAATGACACCTTTAAAATTGAAAATACCGTACAGGTTGAAGAAGGAATGCGAAGAAAACATATTTGTGTGCAATCGCAAAACGGTGATATCTGCTCATTACGGTACAGTATTTCGTTTTCGAATAAAGGTACGCACAGAACCAGCAAATAACATTAAAAGAAAACAAACAAAATTTCGGTTCCTATCTAGAAGTGACCTAATCTACAGCAGTGGTCGGTAGACCTAAAATAAATTCATTATAAAGCCTTCCGCGGACTTCGTAACACCAGTTGAGGTGGAAACAAATTGAGGGTGCGTCCCATCATACTGATCCACTACAAAGTGAATTTCACAATTTCCCGCACAATGTTCAACAATACAGAAGTTAGAATCATGATCTCCATTGGAGGTGTTTCGTGAGATACTGAACTCGTAATTGACGCATGCGCAGATTCAACAGACTCATGTAATGGAATATTTCAAGTGGGTGGTACATTCGCAGGGTACATCGTTCACATTCTGTCGGCTCAATAAGACGGAGTTGCCTGGAACTTTTCATATTTTCGATTAAGTACACTTTATTATCATAAGATGGTTGGCCGTCTAGTGCGAAGACAATTCAGGAATTCTTGTAGAAAATATCACTAGGGAAAATCGTTTCGTAGTCTACCCACAGGAATTCCAAGGATAAAAAGACACCTGACATCAATCACAAAATATTTTCCACGTACACCTGCATTCAACTTTTTGAGCTTTCCAGGTAAAATGTACGTTCACTTGGGAGACGACTTTTCAATGTTCTTGCCATGATTTGCCCATTAATGTCGAGGCTATTGCTCTCTCTCCACTTTCACTAGAGTTTTGATGAGTGCAAATTTGCACCATAGACGTGTATTCTCTCAGAGGCTTCAAGAATGACCAACCAGACTTCTTCGTCACAAAATTCAATTTTCTCAGCTTCATACTGCTTATCAAATTGAATCGGAATGAACAAAAAGCGTTTGCAAGTCATTTATTTCGAAAAAATGCTCCTTTAGCAAAAACACGAAAACATTTTTCCGAGTACAACCGCTTCAGTAGAAATGTATACGCTACCATGGAATTATCGTACATAAAATTCGAAACGCAAGAACGTGTGTTCTATTGGAGTACTGTAGTCGAATTTTACGAAAGCGAAGATCTGTTGAGCGAAAAATTGAAAAAGAAGAATTTGCACTTGATCGTTTAGTTCGACGATGCTCACGGAGTACTGACGAGAATACCTTCAGCGAGTACAGTTCTTACGGAGATGAACTCCGTCTAATTTCAGATTGAATTAAGCTTTTAAAAAAACGGATATTCCCGTCAGAGAGGCAGTCTGAATGCAAATAAAAACTACTGTATTAACTTGAAGACAGATTTGTGAACATCATTCATCAATAAAATAGTCGAAGTCACCAAAAATTAACACTTTTGGGCGAACGTTGTATCAGACCCAGTGTCTTTTCGATGAAGACGCCGAAGTTGATGATCTGAACAAAAACGTCCGCTTCATTTGGAAAAGCATAATGAACCAGATTCACTAGATTACGTAGACAATAATATAAGCCTCTTGCATCAAAACTAATCGCAGTTTTTCTTGACGGACTTCAAAATTGTGCAGGTCAAGAATTTGAAACCAGTACCTTTGGCACGTCATCCTGGTCCATTTTTTCCAAAATTGCAGCGCAAGCAGATTTCAACTCTCGCACTTCGTCAGAGGTAACAAAATTCTGCAGGACAACCATCCCATCTCTCCGAAACTTGAAAATAAAAAGTGTATTCATCGGTTCGGAAGACAAATCGCGAAAAGGTCATAACTCACCTTCTCTACAAAATCCTCAGGCTGAAAGGAAACCATGATCAAACCCACCTGGAAGAGTGGAAAATGACCGCCTTACTGAAGAACTCTCTGGAATATAAACCTAACCAACAATAAACGTACACGCTCGTGAAATACGCCGAAAAGCTTGAAGACTCATATTTAACTCTTTCACCATCAAGAAAACGGCTCCGCACAAAAAACTCAAAAGTCCACGCTCATACGAAAAATGACTCGATACAGCAGGCGACTGAATTCGCTCAAAGCGATTGGATGCAAGTGAACGAACGAATAATTCCAGACCAACAGAGCATAAATAGATTCCAAGACAAAAGGCAATATTTTTCTACAAACCAGAACATGTAGCATAGGTTTCGAGATTTCACCAGAATTACAATGAAATTCATAGAATGTGTTCCGTGTAAACATACACACTCGATTAAGGAAATTTTGGCGCCTCCAAACGGGAACGAGAGACGGATTTACAAACATAAATGACCAATAATTAGTCTCCTCCCATATCATCTTCATCGTCTTCCTCGTCGTCTTCGTCCTCCTCTTCCTGGAATAAAAAAGTTACAATGAATAAAGTTGTAATAGTCCATCATTAAGATGACTTCAATCGAATATAATTTCACTTCGCGGAGTAGTTTAATCAAAACTGAATATTTGAGAGCTTACATCAAATCCAAAGCAGTTGCTAACGTCTGCTTTCTCATCTTCAATCTCCACTTCTTCTTTCACCGCTCCACGAACACCTGGTAAAGGAATAAGTAGATTCATGTCTTTTTCAGACGTAGTCTTGAGATTTAACAACCTGATGCACGGAACTCCGGTTCAACTCCACCATCCATGTCGTCTTCATCGTCGTCCGCATCCGCATCAAAAATGGTAGTTTTTCTATGGAAATAATCAAGAAATTGTGTTACCGTTCTTGGCACGCGGAAGTCAACGCGTTCTGGACCATGCAGAAAAATCCCAGTGATCAAATCTATTTTCTCTGTTGAGATACTAGTTGAGTTTTACAGGACTTGATCCAGGTGTCACTTCAAACTTCCAACAAACACAATCAATTCAACCCGAGCCTAGATGAATTTGGCTTTAAAAAGCGTAGTAAAATTCATGCAAAACCTAGGTGCTATCACTAAAATCACGGACTCGAATTAGGTATAGAAAAAGAAAAGCTTTACAATCGCTTACTTAGGCTTGCCGCGCACAGCTGGCCCACCAAGCTGATCATCGTCCATTTGGATAACTTCGAGCACAACGAAACGTTCACCATCCTTTCCTTCAACTTCAAGCATATCTCCATTGTTCTCCACCTACAAAAAATATTTGTTGAGCTTGTGATAAAAGTGAGGCTGAATCGAGCTTTTACTTTAATCCGAGAGAGATTTGGTTTCATATCTTCTTCCCCACTCAGTCCAAATTTTCTGGAGCGTCCCAACTTCAAGGTTTGACTCTTCAACTGACTCGACGAGTCGGGATCGTGAGACGCCATGTGACGGATGAGGTTGCCTTTATGACGGAAAGACCGCTGACACTCGGGACACTCGTGCGTTTTGTCCTTCGGTGCAGGTGGCACGTAGTGCGGGTTGTGGTACAAGTTCAAGTGCCGCTTCAACAGCTGCTTTTGCCGGAAATTCTAAGGAATATCATTCAATTACTGTATTTATGTGGAATGCAATCACGTACACTTCGACATAAAAACTATTTTTCGGTTTTTATGATCTATTCTCATCACATAGATAAACTAAAGCTAATTTTTTTCTGGATAAGATCTAATCCTGCGAAGATTCTGATGTATCCTGGTGATCCATTGAAATAATTTACTCGGCGCAAAAACAGCAAGCTAGAACGTCAAAAGAAAACATACCTGTTGGCAAAGCTCGCACTGATACGGCTTTTGGTTAGTATGGATCAACATGTGAGATTCCAGATGCCGTTGGCTCACAGAAGCGTAATTGCACAAGTCACATTTGAAACACTTCTCTCCTTCGTGAGTTTTCGAATGTTGCTACAAAAAAAACGAGGACAGAGTGGAAGATATAGAACAAATTCCAATTAAGTTCTAGGTTCGATTGTCTCGACTCTCACCTTGAACGAATAGCGATCTGGGAAAGTTTTCCCGCAACGCTTGCATTTTAACGGCCGGTCAGCCATGTGAAGCTTTTGTACATGAATTCTCAAATCAGTTTTTCGCCCACACGATGCTGGGCACAATTCACACTTGTACAACGGCTTGTTTCCTGTTGACAAAAATTATAATTCATGGCATTCTGTCGAACGGCTTTCAACTAACCGGTATGTATCATTCGATGCGCCTTCAACGAGTTTGACTGGGTAAACCTCGCATGACACATTTCGCATTCGTAAGGAAAAAGAGGGCACACCTAGGAGTTTACTGCGAAGTCGAATTTTCATAGGCCTGAGCGCATGCACGTTACTCCTGTGACTTTACTACCTTTTATGTTAATGTCATGATTGTAGGCTCTTTTTGACTAGTGATATTTCAGAAATATTCACACGTTTTGTGCCTTCTCAGTTGTGAAACCTACAACTACTTGCACCGCAAAATACACTCAGCTTCTGCACAAAATTATGTGTACATAGCTCAATGCTATTGGTCGAAGAATGGAGTTGAAGTAATATCGTGACACTGGATGCGATTCAGTCATACAATGCGCAAGTCGTATTAACTTAATGCAAGCTAATTTGAAATTTCCAGGATTCGGAAAATACATTACTGTCATATTTCGACTGCATATTTTCGTTTTAAATTAAAGAGACTGATTCAACCAGAACACCACTTATTTACTGTTTACCCAAAGACGTAATTCGAATAACTACGCAAAAAGCCGAATTCATTTCAGGCCAAGCCTCCTTCTCGAAAACCGTGTTCTGAAATTTTCGAGCAGCCGATACTCATAACTTTCACGAAAAGGCAACTATGTCTTGAAAAATTCGACTTAGACCCGGAATGTCTACAATCGCTCGGGTGTTGATTAGTCGGCTGGAAAAAATTATTAAAAGCTGAACTGTACGAAGAAGCTTTTAATTTTCGAGCTACTGGCTATTCGTTCCAGCGTGAAAACGCAATACAGAATATTTCGCAGAAAATATTGTTTTCTCAAGAATGGTTCGCTGATATTTTCCGGAATCCTAGAAACCTCTCATGTCTTTCACAGCACACGTTTTGTTAAATGGCTATCCACAATTCGGGTGCTGACGAAAATTACAGAATTGCAATGCCTCTCTCCCATGTTACAACCCCGAAAATTTTGAGGACAAAAAATTGCTACTGTTTTATCCGACTGATATCGGATTCGAGAGAAAGATCTCGAAGTATGGATATTTCGGCAGAGTGAATTCTTAATAAAAGGGAAGATTCAAGATTTGCAATTCAAGAAGAACTTGATACGCACAAGTTTTGTGATGACACACTAACCGGACATCAAATCCAAGTTTAAAATTTGTTGGACGGTAAAATAGTAAATAACCTGATACGGTCGCTCCCCAGTGTGAGCTCTCATGTGACGCTTTAGCTTCGACAATTCCACGGAGGAATAATCACATTCGGTACATTGATGAGGCTTTTCAAGGGTATGCCGATAGCGTATGTGTCTTATGAGCTCTCCACTTGTTGTAAACGCAGCTTCACAATATCTGAAACCGGAAAAATGTCGCGAACTGTCTCCAGGGATTCACCAATTTTTTCCCACTCAATCCACGAACCTGCACTTGTGCGGTTTAGTACCAGTGTGGGTGTTGACGTGATTCTGCAGCGACGCAAGGGTCTTGAAACCACGTTCACAAACGCTGCACTTATGAGGGCGCTCCTGACAATGAGTCTTCAGATGGCGCGACAACAAATACCTTCGAAAGAACTCCGTTCGGATGTATCGTTCGATAATGTAATGACGAAGGACCAACCTTTTAGAAGTCGTGTAACTACAGAAGTTGCATGTGTGATGCTGGGAAACATTTTGCGCCGATCGTCGATCCATTTTGACCGGTGCTTTGGAATCTTCCTCTTCCCCGTCTTCGACATCGTCGGCATCATCCATCCCAGGGACCGCGTCTTCCGCTTCGGCTTCATCGAAATCATAAACTCCCAAGTTGGAAGATTCCTGCTTTTTGACTGATGGTCGGGCTGCTCGAGCGCTTCTGCGAACGGGTGATCGCGACGTTGCCGCGGACTTATTGCTTGATGGATCCATGATCAAAACATAGTTCATGTCATCATCATTCCCAGCTTCTCGAGAATCGTCGGCCGTGGCTTCTTCGGAACTATCGCCACTGGCATTACTATTATTTGCGCCTGTAGCTGTACTTTCATCGAGTCCCTAGAAAATTTTTTTCGCAACACACACTGAGCACCAGGTTTGGAAATGGCGAAAAACGTCAAAAAACCACATTGAAAAATGGAATATACCTTGAGAATTGACGCCTGCGTACCGTCAGCAAGCTGAATAGATTCTTCAAGCTCGCTCTGATTTCCCTCTAAAAGAGCAGCAGTCGAGGAATCGATCCGGTAATACTGCCCAGTTTCGTCCACAAAATAAGCTGCATCTTCATCTCCTTCGTCCGCTTCTATTTCTTGTTCCTGAATCCCTGTGAAAAATCCATCCGTGTCATCGGAACGTTAAACAACAATACAATATTTCACGAACCTGCTAGATCAACTTTTACATCTTCACCACTTTCGGCAACTTCCCCGTCCATATCTATCAACGATCGCTGGGACCAATGATTCGCGATATATCAACGCTGAAATGTAATTCACAAAATTGTAGCCGGTTCCTTGCTTCCGAACCAGGGACACGCAAGCTTACTGATGAGACCAATACGATAATGAACATATGCTTGATCACCGCATGAGAAACGTTCGTCTCCTTACGGATGAGGTTGGCCCTCGATCAGACTACGCCACCTGACACACTCGCACTAATACTTTGTCATTGCATCTAATCGTAGTATGTTATTAAATGAGCCCTCTGTACATCTGAACAGTACAGTACTGTACTGTGTCAAGACCAACACGGTTGCTTAGCAGAATATCCGTGAGGTGTCGTAATATTCAACTTAGTCGTCAAGCTCGCTTGGATAACAAGATGTCGCGAAACTCGATAATTTTTTTTTTCGCGAAGAGAACTACGAGATTTATTCCGCATCAGTAAGCGGTAATCGAAGGCGTCACAATACGCAAAATCACTCAATTCAGCAAAAGAGCAACCGATCCGATTCATAGATCGAAAGTACGAGTAAGCGCAGGTGGAAAGAAAAGATTGCAAGAATCCTTCCCTAGGTTGTGCTGTAGTCAACGGCCAGACAGGCAGCCATCTTGTCGACGCAACTGAGGCGACATTCGAATAAATGCCTAATCTCTCCTCCAGAAGGCGCAACGGTTCATAGTGGCGCGGAGGAGTGAAGAGAACCTATGGGAGAAACTTGGGTTGTTCATTCCCTGAATGTCTTACTATCATCCAGAGACCTTTACATGCCCTAAGTTTAAGCCCTCGTAGGCCTGATCTTTTGCGGTCATGTTAAGCGAAACTTCTTCAAAAATGTTGCACACTGAATATTCTAATTACTTAAATTTTCAGAGCTCTTGAATGCTGATGCTGAAGTAAATGTTGCCCTGTTAGTATGCCCCCATTCTGTGAATATTGTATAATCTTTTGACATGTACTGTACTGTATGTAAAGTACTGTCTAATGGTTTACGTATGCACTGAAATCCATTTGCCATGTATTATTGGTCCAAAACACACAACAAACATGTGATGCACCGGTATACAGTATTCATATTTTGAGCTAATGTACCAATGTGTCAAGCAATAAGTTCACATATTCCCCTCATATGTCTTTCTAGATACTATAGCCTTTGATCAAAGTACTAGGAATAATAAACAGATAACTTTATGAACAAATAAAATGTTTGAATACAAAGTCATATTGCTGGAAATTTTCACAGTACCTTATCACAATCATGCTGATGAGATTCATTTCCAAATGCTTATATACCATTTAAAAAATATATATATATATCTCAAATTACCAGAATACAGCTGCCCTGAGATTTCATCTTGCATAATGAAGTGGTTCTCCCTCAATCAGTCTTCCACAGCATTTTACTGCTTATCAAGGCTGAAGAGGTTCAATCGCCCCTTGAGCAAGCTGCTGCTAGTACAGGACGTGTTCCGCTCCAGCAGGGTTGCTGGAACGCCAGATGAGAACTGCGAGGCATGCTTTTTCTTTATACCGTAGTGATAGATGCCATCATTATAGGCAAAATAAGGTACAACATCGGTTTCATGAATAGTGGGAAGCAGCGGTAAAATATGGCGGCGCTCGTTGCTGTGGTAGTGAGGTTCGAAATGTGTTGGTTGATCAACCCTTGTTCAACCAGTGTCAATTCAGAACTGGTGAAATCGGGAACGGAGTGCGTGGACTCATTAAAACTAATATGTGACCAGAACTATCTTTTCGTTGCGAAAATATTTTAAGGTGGTGGAAAAGGGTTATACTATCGAGTTCGGACAGATTTCCTGCAATTCCATCATTCTGCTCGAATGGATAGTTCCGGCAGAAACGTGGATCCGCGGAGCATTCGTCGATGTGTGTAGGATTTCCATCATTCTTGGAATGGTTCATCAGGTTTTCTTTTCCTTGATCAGTGGAGGAAGAAGAGCAACCGTTCCTGGGTTCGAATGATGTCGCAGAGATTCGTCTCACGCCTGCCTGGGAGAGCAGGAATCTGCCACCCGAGCAACTTAATTTTCAGGATGTTTCCCCACCGGATGAATCTGAGTACGGCAAAGAGCCGCCTGATCGGTGAGTTCGTGGCAGCTGTTGCACTCCTTAGTATATTTCTAACGTCACGNCAAAATCGCTGATAACTGTCTTGGAAGAGGTGTTGATGAACCTAGGTCGTACTTCATGGTACAGTGTATTTTGAATTTGTAATTTTAGCAATCGATTCATCCCTCTAGCCTCTACCCAGATTATCCTCATTTTCCTGCTTTGTGTGTCAACAAAGTCAATCTGAAATGTTGGTAAAAGGTAAAATTTCGTTTCTGCCATCTTGTGTTGCCTCACCTGTGCTCGTATAACGACTCATAACATGGAAAACTTATGAACTGCGTTGTTATGACGAACATGTCCCGACTTCTTCAATGTACGGTATTCTGATATGGAATGCTCCGGTATTGAAGATGTAGTACGAAGGATTCTGAAGTATTCCGCTGTATCGCAATCCGCAAATGATTTGGTGACTCGAGAAGCTGAAACATATGTCCAAATTCCAACTTTGTGTGCTGAAGTTCCCACTTCAACCTCCTGTTTCCGAATTCCATTAACTCTTCGAGCTAGTTTACAGCAGCCCGATCCAAGCAGGTCTCACCAGTGGATACGAATCAAAACGATATTGCAAATGCAAGGCACGTACTTCTATTTCGTTGGTGCTGCTCAGCTAGGCGACTCATCTAAGTTATAGCTTTTGCAATGAAGATTACTGCTTCCTTTTTATTATACTGTAAATAAAGCAGTCCTCCGACGAAAGCTGATGTCTTCGTGTTATTTGAAATAAGCTGAATTCCGAGACGCATAATGATGGCTTTTATGTTCATTCTGAATTGGTGTAAAAATCAGGTCATAATTAGGTAATGTATGGTTCAGTCAAGAGTAAGAAATTAAAATCAAGTTTTACTTGAATATGGTGTCAAATGCTGTACCCGCAATCGAGGAGGAGGGAACCCTTTATTTGTTCGTTTTATAATTTTATGTAGGTTATTACCTATGTTATGTAATACAGTAATAACCTGAAATCACTTCGGGGCTCAGGAAATTTAGTGCAGTATGTTTTTTCTTCTTTTAGGATGAACTTGGTTTACCTGACGATGGTTCTACATGGAGTTGGAACCCTGATGTCATGGAATATGTTCATCACGGCCACAGACGTAAGTATCCTTCGAAGATTCGCGTGAAACCTAGAGAAATGTCATCAACTTGACCACATACATGTATTTTACTGAAAAAACGACGCTCTCTTGATGTCGGACTTAGTTTCTTTTGAATTAGAATGTGCCAATTTATCGTCAGAATACACGGAAATACGTCGATGTTTGTGAAAATCAGATTTTAAGAAATTCACGTGCTTGCAGTAGCTTCATCGTCTTCTAGGCCTCTAGGGCACGGGTCGTATTTGAAAGAACGGATGCGACTCAGTTGCACTGTTGAAAGAATCCCAAAGTAGATATAATATTGGGATGCAGTTCTGAGCTTTAATCGGACATTGTAGAAGGTCTTACGCCAAGAACTTCTTCGTCTTACGAATTGTTTTTTTTTTCTTACAGTATTTCACGGATTACAAAATGTCCGAAGAGTACACTGGTCAAAAATCCGAATACCGATCCAACTTCTTGTCGTATGTCGGCCAAGCTTCCCAGTTCCCAAATTTGATATTTGCCTGGGTCAATGCCTTCATACATGTTGGGTAAGTCTTTTTTGCTGAAGATCCCCATTTCCTGATGACTGCTTTGTTTTCTCGAAAGTTAGACGAACTGAAAAACAAATTTAGACTTCTTGAAAATAACCATTAGTATTTTCTGTTTACCTTACGTTAAAACTGTATCTGCAGAAAAACATTATTGTAGTTTGAAGTTCTCAAACTTGAGAAATTAATTCTTGTGATCATGTCATTTCACTTAATATTCGGACGAGCCTACGTTTCCTTCTTTATTGGGGAAGTTTTGTACCAGGTGTAAAGTGATCTGTCCTTAATAATGCTCCTCGAGGATGTATACCTGTACAGTACTTCCTTAATGACGTTACGCAGTTGAATTTTTTAATTCTCGCGTAAGTTTTTGCGAATTTGCCGGAGCTTGTGTCATGTTCATACCTTTCTGTCAGTTTTTAGCAATTCAAACTACGTTTAATTTTGTGAACTTCAGAGGCGATTTCACGCGACGGATCGTGATAAGCTTGTCCGTCTGCGTGGTGGTCTTCGTTCTGACCGTGGCTTTAGCAATGGTTGATTCGTCTGGTTGGCCTGGGGTTTTCTTCTGGCTCACAATGATCACCGTCGTTTTTCTAAACATGGCGAATGGAATTTACCAGACGACAGTTTACGGAATCGCCGCGAAGTTGCCACCTAAGTACTCGGGAGCAGTTGTCCTTGGATCAGTGAGTGCATCTCCCTCCTGTTCTTTTTTGAAGAGGAAAAATATTGACAATTCATGATTTTTTTGCAGAATGTCAGCGGAACATTCACCGCCATCATCAGCATCGTATCCAAAGCCATGTCTCCTAACCTCCGCACTGCAGCCATTTATTACTTCATCACAGCTTTGTTCGTGCTACTCGCTTGTTTCGACACTTACTTCGCTTTACCGCTTTCGGTATATTTCTGGGAAATAGCTAGCCTATTGTATGGAGATTAACGTTTAACCTTTTCGCAGAGGTTTTATCGGTATCATACAAGGCTGCATGATATGCCCAGGAAACGGAATTCGAATAAGATTGCAGGTCCCTTCGGTGAAGACGCCGGAACAGAAGTCGTTCGGTCCAGTTTGCCGAAAACGAAAGCGCAAATTTACTGGCATGTGTTCAAGCGATGTTTCCCGCAGTGCTTCAATGTGTTCCTCACACTTTTCGTATCGTTGGCTGTGTTCCCTGCCGTACAAGCGAGTGAGTCTACAGTATATTGTGAAAGATAACGTCAACATTTTTCGTTAGAAGCTCGAATACTATTCATGTGGATACGACGCGGTGATAATTCCATTTTATGCGGAAAATTGAAGGCGCCTTCAAATTGGGATCGAGTCTTGGAATCCCATGTAAAAGGGTAGTTGCCTGAACTATTCCGGATAATTAGAGCATTGCAGAATTAGTTTATCGTCGAATTTCTCATCATGTGGATGATCGGGGGAAGAAAATTGATCATATAAATTTGGAAACGCAAATGTGAACGTTACTCCCGTATTGAATTTTTCTCTTCAATTTTTCATGGTTTACGGAATAATACTTGCTGTGTTAATTTCATTTTGAAATATTGTAAGCGTTTATTGACTGACAGTTTTGCATAATCCTTGCGCTTAAGGAGATCTCTTGACTTTCAATATGTGCTCCTTTTGATCGATCCTGAACTGCGCAGTACAGTACATTGTTACCGCGTTTCCAACGTTGCCTGAGGCAATTGTGTGTGTGTTTAGAAGTCACTCTTCTTCGTTCAGTTCGAGGATACTTATAGGAATTTGTGAAAAATCATGAAAATTTGGCATTTATCTATAATCGATTTTCTCATTTATTCAACGATTATCAAGGAACTGAAATCCAAAGAGCCGATCAAATACAGTATAGGGGGGTTTGCACAGGGTTGATTGTGGCAATATTTACTAAACGGATCTGAATTTCAATTCGATTCCAAAGTCACGGATTTTTCCTGCTACCAAAATCTAAATGTGAATGTTCGCTCATTTCGAATGTGTTTGAGTTCGTGTGTTCTCAATCCACAGATATCAAGATGTCAGACCCGTCTTTCATCATTCCAGAAGCATATTACACTCTGGTGCTCTGCTTTCTCACGTTCAACCTTTTCGCAACGTTTGGTAATCTATTACCTAACTTGATCGTTTGGGTGAGGAAAAAATGCCGTTGTTTCGAAAATGTTGCCGCGTGAATACATCGAATGTTTCCCCGATTTTCAGCCTGGTCCCAGATGGCTGTGGGTGCCGGTGGTGCTTCGATTGGCTTTTATCCCAGCCTTTTTGCTATGCCGTTACCAGCCAGTGGATGTCGAAAGGATTACTCCTATTTATATTGAAAATGACTGGATTTACTGGGCCATTGGTGCTGGACTAGGACTCACTTCGGGTTATTATTCGTCCCTCGCCATGATGTTCGGGCCCGCGTAAGTTACCTCAAAGAAGCACGATTCCGATTTATCGAAGGGTTATGGTTCGTTTAACCCAGGATCACGTCGCACGTTTAGGAAATAATAATGGTATAGCAACATACGGTTTTTTTGTTGCGGAAATATTTTATTTTGAAACTATGTTCCCCTTGAAATGTTGGGACGAGGATCGAGAAATACTTTGTTTCTGTAGGTAGATGTGATTTAACGAAGTACTGTATGCGCTCCAGTTAGCCTTGAATTTTTTTTGGTATACAGTAATTTATTCATCTTGAATGTATGTTCGCTTGGAATAATTAGGAGAGGTCGTTCAGATGTCAGGTTGAACTAGCTTCAGTATGCGGCAATTGGAAATTACTGTAATTTATTTTAATCTTGAAATTCTTTAAATATTATGAATTGAGCCTGTGCCTTGCATTTCCTAGTTGAATAATTCCCATCATTGGTTACGCACAACTCTTCTTCATCCAAGAAATTATCTTTATTAACACTGTCTTCAAAATTTCATTTCTCAGCTTTTAACTTAGATAGCTTGCTATGTCTTGTCCTATTTTTAGTCTCTTCTTGACCTTGGGGATCAGCCGGAAGTAACAGCACCATCAAGATAAGAAAGATGTTGGTCCCCTTCTTGGTTTGTGCCAGAGTTTGCGAAAAATCAAGGGTTATTCTGGAGGTGACGGGTCGGGCGAGTACAATACTGCACCGATCATTGTACAGTAATTATTTTTTCGGACCGCATAAATTCTCTGCCCTAAATTGTAATACGGTAATTTCTTCCTTTTGTGGGATGCGTTCGCTGGGTTTGTGCGAGATCCTTTTCTATTTCATTGTCTGCTCCATCGGAATACGTTGAATGTATCTTCTGTTTTTCAGGTCCGTGGAGGAGGAGTATGCTTCCATTGCCGGGATGTTTTGTGCGGCGTCACTAGTAACAGGGGTCTTCGCCGGCGTCAATTTTTCGCTCTTCTCGTGGTGGTTCGTGCAGAACGTGACGTGGGTCCTGTGATTAAATTGTCGCGCAAGCTGAGGCAGGATTTAGTTGGTGACATTGTCGGGATTCACTGTAACTGTCCGAGTAACAGCAGCTGTTGAAACTGTTAGGGTAAGGTTATAGAACTTGAACCCGGTGGAGAAACTCGTATCCGTCGAATGTACTCAATTCAGATGTAAACCAGTTTTCATACCTATCATTTGAATGCGTCTCCCGTCGAAGATTTTCTCGGTTTTGCTTCCTTGCTGCTGAAAACGTTATATCCCTTCTCGTAATGGTTTAGGACAACTTCTCGAGCGTCATACTGGGCTGCTAATCTATTTTTTTTGCTTCGCTGCTTCTGTATCGGTTACGTCTAATTTACTTGCCGCATTTATTTGAACGATATGAGATTAATTGAGGTCTGGAAGCAGTATGTGATGTATCCATTTGTACCCCGTGATGAAGGGGATGGGCTTGAGAGTGGGTAGACTCAGGGAGGCGAGATTTCATAGAAGTCTCTGGCAACGAATCTCTTGTGTAAGCAGATCGTTCCGTTTTGGCGACCGATTTGAGGGCAACACGGATTCTGGTAGGACAGCTAGTGCCATAATTTTTTTTACAGCATATTTTGAATAATCCTAGAGTAAACTTTTCGAGAGTGTTCCAGAAACGAAGGATTGAATTAATAGTCAGTATTTCTCACTAGGAATCAACCACGAGGCAGCCGTAGTTCCGCTAGGTTCTGCAATTTCCTCTGTTCTGGGGATATTTTCATTCTTTTCGGGGTCGTCTGCTTGTGATACCAGTGTAACCTATTCAGGTCTGCTGATTGCTGTATATTTCTGCATAGTGCTTTTTTCCAGACGAAGAAACATTCTCGTGGTTCATCGCGATGTCGATTTATTCGTTGATTTTTTTCGTTACGTTTGGCGCCGGTTGAATAACTCGTCTTTTTCAAGGCTAAGCCGTGTGTTGTGCGAAATTTGTTGGAATCGAGATTGGCTGAGGTTATGCGTGTTCGACGAGGATAAAAAAAAAGGTCAATCAATCATGTCTCGTTTTTCATTCTTATCGTAGCATCCAGTATTGTACAATGGTCATGGAATGTAGTGATGCGAACGTTGGGTCCTTCTGATATTGAATCTTGCTTACTAAACCCTCTGAGTGAAACCTCTCAATGCTAATGTTTCTTTTTATTCCATGTATGAATTTCCTCGAAAAAAGCCATGACATCTAAACTTAGCTAACTCATACCTTCCCAAAAACTTTAGGACCTCTTTTGGGCTACAATTCCGGGGCCCAAAAATAACCTATCAGTTATAGCCAGAGTTCGCCACCTACGGTGTGCTAAAAAATTTCAGGCCTGCTAAAAATTGAAATTTTGTTTTTATAAACATCATCTTCTCTGTATTTCAGATGATGCTGTAAATTGAAGTCTTTTTGAAAATCCCAGAACCTTACATCATGTGCATAATTCTTTTGCTGTCATATTCACTCTAAAAATAACCAAGGATGCCCCAAATGAGATAACCCTTGTATAAGCACACCTGTAGCTGGTAATAATAAAGAAAAACACTAGAAAAATAAATCTGGGATTCTTTTGAAAGTAGGATTTCCTGCGTTCTCCACTTTTCTGGCACTTTGAATTCAATGGCATTCAAGTGTGAGATTTTAAACGGATGTGTCACCTCTTGCACTAGGAATTTCTCGCGTCAGATGTATAGTCTATTGCTCTATACTACAGATTGTAAGACAAATAAAAAACGTATTTTGTAGTCTAGAAAATTATTTCAAAATTCGTTTCACCCTAAATTTCCAGCAATTTACACCACAGGGTCTCATGGATGCATTGAGTGCTTAATAATAGCCGGGAACGTGTTTCCCAAATGCATGACCGCACGAACTTTCAAGTGGGACACGGAAGCCCTCCCACGGCAACACCATCAAACAATCACGCACTCATTATAAACTGTAGGAAGACCCTCCAATTTTGTGTGTTGTTTGTGATCTAGTACAGCACTGTACGTGGATTTCTGGAAATCTGATTGTGACGGACAAAGGCGCATACGACTGTATGTACTGCAAAATGGGTCTGCGAAATAATATAATAAAAATATGATCCGTTTCATATTTTCTAAAAAGCAACAACTCATTTAGTGATCGTCCATCATGTCTTCAATGAGACCGATATGCTGTTTCGGAGTCCTAAAATTTTCTTTGTATCGGAGAAACGTGTATTTCTTCGAAGCGATACCTTCTGTATACGGTACTTGTTTGCAAAAACACAATTTTATGGATTTTTTAGATGGATGTGTTGCATTACAATGGGTAGGGTCACCTCGAAATTTTTTCGATAAAATGTTTTCATCCGTTAGAAATATACCCTGCATGGTACACGTCCAAGAACGGATTTTATTCCATGTGGATTTTTTGTGTGTCTTCCAAACTGTGCAAAAATGTGTGTCAACCACTGTCTCTTGTTATTTACAGTACTGTATAATCGATCTGTTTTAAAGAATTGAGGTGAAAAGTAAACTGCTGCGCTGTATATATTCTCTCGTGGAATTAACACAAGCTCCATTTTCACAAACCTTGGAAAGTATAAGAGGTATGCGTATTGCAAAAATAAAAAATGAAATAATTGAATTTTTAAAATTTTTTTCCCAATGGCGCTGATTACTGCAAAAATAAATGTAGCATAAGTCCGGATCAATTGTCACTTCGGATCTATTCAACTTTCACTTTTCCCTATTTACGGGAACAAAAAGTGGGTTGATACCATTATAGTGCTTGACATGCATTTTCAA